TTGCTGTATGTTCTTTATACTGACTTATTTCAATGTTTCGAAAACATCCCACTTTTCATCCCATCTCGGTAATGCAGAATCATGTAAACAGTCGCTAAGGAAATAAAAAACCTGGCTAGCTCTACTGCGTATATAAGCATCCCCTTAATAATCATCATGCTCCACTACCTATAATATTGTCCAGCTGGAATCAACAAAATAAGCTCGGAAAATTGTAATTTTAGAGCTCCAAACATTTCTTCTGCTTGTTGGCAAATTGCAGATATATCTATGGGATAAAAAATTTAAACGATACTTAACACTACATTGTTCTATTATTTAAATTCTATTTGTTACACATACTCGCAATACCTTATTTCTTCCATTCCCTAAGTAGGTAAGGGGAGCAACGGTGTGAGATGGTATGATAATTAATAGGGTATGAAGAGCCGCTGAGAGACATTAGAGACTGTTCATTTCCTAGCTGGGAGGAGTGCTAGAGGAATTAGAAGGTGGACCATCCAGATAAAAATGGCCTGAAAAGGATGGTCCATGAGAAAAAATACCGACATGGATAAAGTTATTCCATGATTTATTAAATTTAAATGTGTTCATATAAGGCAAATTAACTCCTCGTAAACTGGTTAGACCATACTTAGTTTGGATGACACAACAATGTTTTAAGTTCTTTGTATATAGGTGTGGATAGCAATCACTAAACTATTGTTTTGTGTTGCGTAATTAAAACAAGATCTTCCTGATTGGAATTATTAATTCTGGCAATGAAACGGCTCCAAACTAAACTACCAGTCAAATCTATAAGGATGATGAAAAGTAAGAAAAATTCTTACTTTTTTGCTGTGAACTATGATGAACAGCTTGTAAAACTGCCAGAATCCCTCTTGTTGTTTTTTCTAAATTGCGAACAGCACCATGTATTTTCTATAATTAAAATAACAATAATTTACCATGCATCAGATATAGTGGTCACTCACAGCTATCAGACATATAAAGTGTTTAAATGCCTTTCATTATATATAATAGTGCCAGTAGCAGCCTGCACGCAGTTGCACGTCCTACTGTACTGTATGCCTATATTAGTACACACGCAAAAGTCTCACTACTCTGTCAACAAGTTGTCTTCGCACTGTTTGTCCAAACTTGTTACAACAACTGGGAACAAGCAGTGCGAACACAACTTGTTGACAGCTTGTGAACAGATTTGTAACAACTTGTTTGCAGACCTAGCTGTAACAACTTGTGCGTTTTTACGTGTGTAAACTTTACTCAAAGTGACGACCATCTGTTACCTTCCCTGAAATCCACATGACTGAAGCATAATTACATTCAAAAAGACTGGTCTCATTCGCCAGATCATTTAAAATATTAAGTAAACTAAATTTGCTTCATGTAAATCTGTCTCTTGGTTGTTTCGCAGTTCATTAACCGGCACCCAGATGATCAAGCTAGAATAGCACAATTTATACTGGCAATGGTTCTGCATGGAAATAAATTATTTCTAATATTTCCTGTGACATACACGATTCGTAATGATTGGAGTATTTTCTCACATCAAGATGATTGGATGACATCTGTCAGAACAAATGCAAGTTCGCAGTCAGTTCGTATTAGTGACGGAATATTCGTCTGTTGCAGAACTTATACAAAGACGAATTATCAGTGAAACTATCTCCTCTTTGCTATAGTTTGTCCAGACGGATTATACTATCATGCATGTAGTGGTGACAGCAAAATATTAGTCACACTCGAAATACAGTAGCTCTTTCCCAAAACAGGATATATACCATAAATGATGCAGGCACAAGCTCTGTTGTGTCTATAGGGGCACAAGACACGTACAGTATGTCTGCAGAGACAATTAAAGTAGCATCTAGCTGTTGTGCGCTGCTTAAGACCAAGACAAACTCCTAATCATAGTTTGTTTACTAGACAATTGTGTCTTATGTTTTATACTGAAGATGCATAACCTGCTTGCCCACATTTGTCCTGATGGAAAATGCATCTAAGAACTTGTTGTCATGGTGATTATGATAATTCTAAAATGAGAACTTCTCACTTGGTTTCTTACAGGATTCTGCTTATTTACCAGGGTGGAGTAGGTTCATAGAAGTAATAGATATTATTTCTATGAGTAGGTTACATGAGTTTGAATGACATTTTTTCCTCAATAGTCTGTATCATCATCATCTGATCATTTAATATATAACTGGTTTATGCACCCAGCACCCAGTTTATCTCTGTCTTTATCAGATTTGATCAAGGCTCCCAACAAATCTAACATACTCAGGGCCTCCAAGAGGTTGCAGGGGGCCTGCAGCAAAACTTTCCCAGGGGCCCTATGACTTTATAACAGGGTTTGTACACCTTTTCCCATTTAAAATTCCATGACTTTTCCATGACCATTTTTTTCAAAATCCATGACCTGGAAGTCTGGAATTTCTGAAATTCGTTAATATTTTAACAATAACAGATATAATAAAAGAACAAAATTCACTTCGCTTTTGAAAAAATCCGTTATATAACAACAATTCATATTATTGTTATGATTGGTAAATTGAAATAAGTAAAATACTTTGTTACTGTTATGTAAAATTTCAATTTTCCATGACTTCCATGACTTCCATGACTAAAAATGATTTTCCAGGATTTCCAGGCCTGGATTTTGGAATATTGAAATTCCATGACTTTCCAGGTTTTCCAGGACCCGTACGAACCCTGTTATCATTGTAAAACAGGAAAAGTGGTGTTTTACAATATCAAAGATCTGTGCCAGCATAGGTATAGTATTACCAATATTGAGATGGATATAGGGATTCAACTACCTATCCATCTCAATTTTCTGGTGTTAACCCATTGAGTGGCAGCACTCTCCACTTGAGGAGTAAAAGCATCTGGCGTTGGACAGAGTAAAATACTAAAGTAGGGCGCATCAGGGTGCATTTCCACTTAAAGGGTTAAAATTGAGATGGATATAGGATTCAACTACCTGAAAAATACAAGTTTTACTTGCATTTGAATACTTGTTTTACAATATATTGCACATTAATTATAATTGCATATTCTCCGGCACTGACACGGCTAGGATTTATATTCTATTAGGTAAGCAATCTTGTAGCAAGAAATCTTGTATTGTTGCTGAGGCCCACTAAGGGTGTAGCTTTGTCGCTTGTTTTATTGTAATAAATGTCGCTTTCACTTTTGACCCATCACGCAAATAGCAATTCGTCACTTTTTCCCAGTTGGAAGCTGTCGTTTGTCGCTCTTTTTTAGACAGTCTGTTGCCTCTTTTAAGGAATGTCGTCTGTCGGTCATAACCCATAGGTGGACCTTGTTGCTTTGGGGGCCCTGTTTGAGCTGGGACACTGGCAACATACAACACTACAAGATTGTGACAAACCTGAAGGTGATTGTATTTCAGAATTTTCCGCATTTTAATCCATGGGAAAACAAAAAATAATTTATTTCCCCAATATTTTATAAGGGCTGGGGAGGGGGGTGGAATAGCTTTCGTAGGGGTAGAAAAATACATAAATTCCCTGGGCGAGAATACCCCCAGAACCCCCTACTATTACATACGACACCACACCAAACTTTTTGTCACCAACAAGCATCTGTCATCTCTTCACACTCAGTATAGTGATATTATGGTCCCTTTTTGTAGATGCTCCCCAGAGACAAAGTGGCAACCAACAGTGGAGCAACAATAAATTATTATAAACTAGGGTGAAAAATATTCAATATGAAAAATATTGTAAATTTTTATCACCTCACGAATATCTTGGTCTTCATCAAGATAAGATTGGAAAGAGGAGAACATGGAGAACAATTCTCTTTTTCCTTCTTCTGCCATTTCCTATTTACCGGGGTTATTTAACACGTGTCATGTCCCCGGCGAATGTACCTATGTCGGATAAATGTCACCTGCATTGATTGACCGGTTTTCACTTGTTTCCATCTACCAAACTGACATTACGTCATTTGATCAATTTCTAAAGTTGTTTCTTTTTGGATTTTTTAATTAATTTGTTTAGGGTTAGAGTTAGGGTTGCGGTTAGGGTTAGGGGTTAGAGTAGGGGTAGGGTTTGGGCTAGTTACATAGCCATTTAACACCTCTTCAATCTTCTGAAAATGACGTCATGTCAGTTTGGTGGTTGGAAACAAGTGCTGACCTGATTGACCTGTGTGATAGTTCGAGGTATAGTTTTTGTGTTTGTAGATTTGATTTGTAAAATAATTTTAATAGGAGAGTAAAAAGTGGCTACTTTTCCTACTTCAGACTTATTTGAAAACCTTGTTTAATACCCCACTAGTAAAATCTCGAGTAAAATCGTATTGTCATTGAAATTCGTTTCAAATTCAAACACAAGCCGGAAATAGAATACCGTTTTTTTTTTCAAGTGACTTGTACCCATAAATGTACCATAATGTCCCCCAAAGTTGGTAAGGAAAGAAAACAAAGTAAAAAAAAAAGAAAAAGTAAAACAGTAATTATGTTTTATATCTTAAATCATGGCTTTTTGTGTCTGAACAGCGATTCCAATGCATGCATTGGTAGATGAAAATGAAAAATTCTGGAAACAAGTTTTCTTCAGGCAGTCAATCCAAAGTACAGTAACTATTTAATTTACTATTGTAGTGATATTTGTAATAAATATATTATATACTCCTTCCTCTTTTTATTTAATATTAAAGTGTTAACTTATATAAAATTATATATAATGTAATTTATTATTGATAGATTATTGTAGCTTATTTATATTTTAAAGAGTTGCTAAAAGTAGAGTGATTTGATATGATCTTCTACATCCTGCAACTTTTTGGCCTGGATCCCACCATTTTCTTCCTTTCACAGACTTATCACAGACCTACTATGCTTTGAACAGGATACACCACTATTAATTGATATAAGGTTGCAGGGTACAGAACCTGAACTATTAATGGGACGTCAAAAATTGTTTGGAAAAAATGCCAAGCAATGCTTAAAATCTTGAGACTGTATCAAATGTCGGTCCCGAATTTCTGCTGACTCGGTTGCATTTCCGAACCTCAACTCTGTTACAGATCCCCTCATAGGGTACAAATACAGGTATAGTCAGGCTATGGGCTAGCTTGTCTCTTGCTTATCATCAGTGATTCAGTGGAAAGCTCTGTGGAGGAGGGAGACCCCATGGGTAGCCTGGATAGTTTGCCACATCTGAATGACACATACTCCAAAAAATTCTCCATCAGTGGGACAATCAATTAACCATGAAGTACACAGTGCATGATTTGAAATAGCTGCCTCAGGCTGCTCCATTTACTGTTTGGAGTACTACTGTATACTCTGGATTTTCGGACCAGTAATAGAATCGGACCAACAAGCAGTCACATGACTGTTCTGACTCTTCTGGCTGCCACTACGTTTGAGAGTCATGTGACTGCATGTGATCGGTTTGACTCTATTAATGTTCAGAAAATTTGGAGTACTCTGAACAGTATTAAATAGAGCAGCCGGCCTGTCTACCTGTTGATTCCAGGTAATTTTCACAAATTACAGGTCTGGTGTAAAACTGCTTATCTGTCACCTGCAACAGGTTGAGAAAGAAAATTCCTTATTAAGAAAACTAAATGCTAGTTTTTCCTAGCATAAACAGGCTTGCAAGAAGTAGGATTTAAATGCCTGTAGACTGCATTGGGAATGAAGAAATGCCTAACAAACCCAACCCTCTTCCTGGCAAGGCCTGTATTTCTTTATAATATCAAAGTTATAAAGAATGTACAGGTTAAGGAGACAGGTAAAAATACACAACTTGTCAGTGGTGGATCCAGCAAAGTTTTTTTGGGGGGTGCTAACCAAACATTTTAAAATTTGGGTCTCTCAAATGGCATTTCCAGCATTCTGAGAAAACATTCTGGAAAATTTTTAGATTCTCAAAACATTTCAAAATTCAGAATATTTAATATTGGCTATTCCGCTATTGTCAACTAGTGGTACCCAACTGAATTCCTTAACATAAGTTGGTTAGAATTAGGATAAACGTCATTTTTGCACCCCCCCCCCCATGCACCCCTGTTGACCAGAGCCTGGGGGATGCACCCCACCCTGCACCCCTAAATCCACCACTGCAACTTGTCATGATGCATGATAGGTAAAAAATTAGGAACATGATTTCAAACCCTGTAGTGAAATACTTCTCTGGTGACCTGGCTAGATTACAGTATCACCTTTCTGTTTCCCTTTTTCCCTTTTGGGCGCTTTAGGATACAATACAACTTAATGGGTTAATATGTGAATTCAGTCTAGGTCTGTATTGAATGCAGTGGCTTTGCAAGATCACCTGGTCAAGTCTCTTTCACTTCAAGATCCATTTAAGACAAAAGTAAATCATAAACCAAAAAGCAATACAAAGCAGACGAAAACTGCAACAAGAAAAACCAAAACAGATGTAGATGACAATAAAGAATATGTTCTTGATGCAAAACCGAAACCATTGACATTAGGTACAAATGAAATTATACTATTAATATATGGTATGTGGGTTTTGCTATCATTGTGCAGCAGATGGGGTCAACCAACAATTAAACGTAACAGTACTGTGCATAGGTTTTGGGTCACCTAAGTAGCACACAAATATTATATGCCGTTTGGCTCATTGGGAACTTTAGTTTTATTAATTTCTCAACCTTTTGCATCATCCAGTCAGTCATCATCCATTATAATTACTTTGTTTAACTCAATAGGGACCTTAAGCATGTACGATGGCAACGCGACGACGACAGCCAAAACAAACTTCTTCAAATAAATTATTGTGAAGAAAAGTTGTTGTGTATTGTCCACTGTATGAATTTAATACAGTTTGAGGAGGTTAGAACAAAGGGTGTATTGGATAAAAACATTTCTGCTGGGCAAATTTGTCGGCTGTCGTGACTTGAAATGTTTGCGTTGTGCAATTAAGAGAGGTGAAAAACTTTGGTTTGAAAATTCTTCATAAAATTAAACTTCTGTGTGCAAAGGGCTGTTTTGCCACATTAAAAATGGCTTGCGCACAGAATTACGATAATACAATTCTGCTTGGAGCCGTCCACATGTGACTGACCACAGACTGAGTGCACGGTAACCATGGGATATTACAGGATTTACGGTTTTATTTATACAGTATCAGTAGTTTGATATCGTTATTTCATAATTTGTAAAGCTCAGAAACTTGGTCTGGTAGATGCTCCTACTGCACGACTTACTGACAAAGAATGGCAAGATGTCAAAAATAAATCTAATCAAAGAAATGATTCTGATCAACCATGTGTGATTTGTAAAGAAGAATTTGGAACACAACATCAGGTGTGTCTTCTATATTGTTAAGTGTGGAATAATTTTCACCCAATTCCGGCAAGGAATCGAACCTGCGGCCCTGCGAGTCCTGTGCAGTGCTCTAACCAACTGAGCTACAGAGAGACAGTTGTCGAGCTCAGAGATGTAGCGAAGCATTCAATAGCGATGTGCCGGATACCGATATCCGGTAAAATTTAGAGATCCGGCACTATCCTGTATAAATTTGCCGGATATTTACCGGATAGTACTGTAAGATATTTTGTTACAACCATGAAACGGAAAAGTTTACTTGGCGTTTCCAAATTGTGAAACACGAACAATTACTGAGTGTGCGCTACATTATGACGAAATCGTGATGGTGATGTGAACTGCTCGTTCGCCAACAGCAGTGAAGTTTATATACTGAATACCAGTAAACAATGTAAGGTGAATCATAAGATATGGCCTTGGTAAAGACAAATAGGTCAAAGAGACAAAAAACTCTTGAAGTTATTGTATTAAACACATTGCCACATTGGGCTAGTTAATTAAGCTATAAAAATGTTGTGTTTCTAATAAATTATTTTATGGGAGTATCTGGTTATTATCCGAGTCCGGTCATCATTTTCTCCTGACCGGTATCCGGTAGCCTACTATCCGGTACTATCCGGTATCCGGCAAAACAGTATCCAGCACATCCCTAGCATTCAAGCATCTGAAGTTAAAGTCGGAGGATTTTACCTGAAATTTGAATTTCAATGTTAAAATTTACCTGAAGTGTAATAATTCTAATAAAGCTTTTTGTGATTAATTTGCACTGTCATACTAAGTTTCGGTTTTGAAGCTCTAGGACTGCATTTCTGGCGTTTTCTAAAGTGAATTCCCAAACCAATTGGATGTAAATTGACTGTATTTTACAAAAATGGTTATCATTTCACAAAAATAATTACTTTATTACGCAAATTTTACCTGAAAATGTCAAAATTTTAACTTGAATTTTACCTGATTCGCTACGTCCCTGGTCGAGCTCTAATCACAAATTCATGTATAACGAGAATAGGGTGATGCCAATGTTACCTGTATGGGTAATTAGCCATTCCGAAGTTGATGAGAGGACTGGGGACGAGTGTTAAAAATTGCCCAAATTAAAAAAGAACTAAATCACTAAAAAGAGCACCTCAAAATTAGTAAGTATACAAAGTTTGAAGACGTTTGCATGAATACCCTTCGAATAACAAGCTTTCGAAAATCGCGATATTTACTATGAAATGTATCAGTAATTTCACAATTTTCGAAAGCTTATTATTCGAAGGGTATTCATGTAAACGTATTCAAACTTTGTATACTTTCTAATTTTGAGGTACTCTTTTTAGCGATTTGGTTCATTTCTTAATTTGGGCACTTTTTATCATTCGTCCCTAGTCCACTCATCAACTTCGGAATGGCTAATTAGTGTAAATATGAGGATTTTGAGCATCTCACACAATGTAACTGATTGTTGAAGGGATTTGTAGATGGAAATTTCGTGTTGAAGTTTTATATATTTATTACACCTAACCTCAGTGGACCCATGGATAATAAAATAAATGGATAGGAAACTAGCTGACGTGATCTAATGTTTTCAATTGGCTGATGGCGTGATTGGATGTTGAAACCCAGTTGCAAACCAAATTCTCAAAAACGGCATGTTTAGCAATAATACAGCTAAACATTTTAGTCAAAGAGCAAATGAATATAACTACGCCATTCTACGATGAAATCTCTAAGTATTCCCAGTCAATTTTAGCAAATATTTCAAGCACTAAACAGTGAAAAAGGCATCCCAAATTTCGTTAAAATTGGGGACGCCAATTTCGTAGCTACAAATGTAAAAAAATACAAAACAAAAATGAAAAACATTTACCTTGAATACTTTGTCGTGGCTTAGGCATGTTTTTAAAACAATTAGACCAGAATATGCTTCAATATTACTCGCGAAACAACAAAAATGCCGAGAACTTTGCAATACGCGTGACGTCACAGATTGCAACTAGGTTGTTTTTGCTTACGTCAGCTAGAGTCCTATCCATTTATTTTATTATCCATGGTGGACCTAACCAGGAGCAGTTGCTAATTAACATAGAAAAATGTACCATTATACAAAACAGTGCATTTGATTGTTTTTATCGCGTACAATTCTGAATTATTTGGAAAACACTCGAATATTTCTAATTATATACATTTATTTAGTTAATAAAAATTTGTCACAATCAATGTTATCACTGCACTAACTCTGAATGTAACTGAAGTATCTAAATTTAGTAACAAACAAGAAAACAATTAGGATGCACGTATGTATCAAGAAAACAAGTTGTTTGAACATTTTAAGGGTAATTTAACACAATTTTTGTTGTAGGTGTTGTTGTCGTGTTCTCATGTGTTTCATCGGGTAAGTTAAAGTTTGACGAAGAAATAATTTTTCAATTAAACCAACCTAAAGAGAATCTTTTTCAATTAGCCTCACGCCGCCATTTTTGGCTGGCATTTCAGTCGACATCTGCGAGATAAGTCCACATAACAGCGACTTTTTATAATTTTTTTGACAAATTATGGTAAATTTGCTTTGTAAATGGTTAGTTTATTTTCAAAAATTGCTTTTCACATTGTTTTAATTGTCTGCATTGGTTAACGAGAATTAGATGCCACCCAAAAATGGCGGATAGTCGTCATCGTGAGAAAGGCTAATTAGACCAACCTAAGGAAAATTGCAATAAAAATTAAGTTGCTTTTATTTGAGAGAACTTTTTAAATTATGTATATAAAAGATCCTTTAAATTAAATTTGGGTTTTGGTTCAATATGCATGACGTCAATTGGTTCGCAACATATTAAAAAACTTCTCTACATAAAATGCAGTCAATTTTGTCTTTTGCCAGCGTAAATGTAGGGCTCTGGTTAGATTAGACTCGATCACGACATCTTATTTTAAGAGGTAAGGACATGACTATGTATCAAAGATACTGATACAGTGAAACTCCAGGTCAAGTGGCTTTATACTCTCACTTTAAAGCCTGGTTCACATATGCCTGCGGCATGCCTGCGACTGTATCATTATGCCTCTACTTCCCGCCGAAATACCGGCAAAGTTGAACTCAACTCAACTTTCCCGGCCTGCCGCCGATGTAACTGAGGCACTGGAGGCAATCGGCGAACAAATGTTCACATAATTTACGTTTTAAAGCTAGCACCGTATCGTCGCCGGTACATCGCCGGTACGTCGGTTAAGCCTGGTTCACATATATGCCTGCGACGTACCGGCGACGATGCCGGTGGTAGCTTAAAACGTGAATTATGTGAATATTTGTTCGCCGATTGCCTCCAGTGCCACAGTTACATCGGCGGTAGGCCGGGAAAGTTGAGTTGAGTTCAACTTTGCCGGTATTTCGGCGGCAAGTAGAGGCATAATGATACAGTCGCAGGCATGCCGCAGGCATATGTAAACCAGGCTTTATCTAGCTAGAGTATTAACATATACAACAATGCATATTCACTTGTAAGCTGAGTTAGTGTGTACTATACAATGCATATTCATGTAGGTTTGTCTTCAAGCGTTCGAAAAATTTTCTGGTGGAAAGACGTGTCCCATGTGTCGAAAAGAACAATACGAAACACGAGTTATACACGAAGGACGAAATTTGTGGCGACATAAATGTGCTATTAGGTAAGTTTAAATGAAAAGAACTAAAGTAAAAAAAACTAAAATAGCAATATACTTGTACTGGGCAGTTCTATTAGTTCCAAACATTTTGCCCTAAATGGCCGTGTCTTATTGGTCCAGTGTCACTACAGGAGGATGTGGAAGCACCTGGCGACAATCTGCACTGTTTGGTAGAGCTAAACTGGAAACACTCTTATATAGTTTCTTCTGACATGCGCGACTGAGGTGATATGATGATCAGAAAACTGCATATATATAGCTAGTTAAAGGCTGTTTCGACCCAAAATCTAAGGATCAGTGGGATTATAACATTTTCGCTTTGGTCTGACGAATGGCTGCCGAAGTGTGCAGTTGCTCAGACATTGGTTAATAATGGTCTGCCAGCTTTTCAAACATTGGTTGGTCGTGCCGATCACCGGTTTTCGCAGGACCATGCAATCAAGACTAATCATACTTAACTTTTGGTAAGCAGTCCCAACGATCCATGCAACCGAAAAGTTCTAGATCGAATTGCCTGTCACAGCGAAGCTAAGAAAACCTCTTGCGTTCTTTTTCTTGCATGCTTTTGAACAGCACTTAATTTAAATAAAAGCTATTTTATCTCATTGCGGTCAACCAGTGGCGTAACTACTATGGGCTCAGACCGTGAGAACCCGGGGGCCCCAACCTAAATGGGGGCCCCCAGGCTTAGGCAATAGAGCAAAAACATTGGTCAGGGCCTCTGATATGTTACAATGTAGTTTTATGACCATCAGAATTCTGTAAAATCTCTCCCCAAAGTCCAGGAAATGGCATTTCAGAGAGTCTAAATTCAAAAATTTCCGGATGAGCATGCCCTGGACCCCCTAGAAAATTCGTGCATATACGGCGCTCGACTCGTGCCTTTGGCACTTCTACTAGGGGGGCCTTCGAAAATTTTGAACCGGGGGCCCCCTGATATAACGTTACGCCACTGCGGTCAACATGTCCGTATAACATCGTTACGGTCCACACTGCTAAGGATACAAATGAACATGGCATACGGCATGTATACATTTTATATTCCGAATAGTCTACTCACAAATTCTAGTGGGGACATTGTGGCAACGGCTTTAGAGTATATAATATTTTTGTTTCGCCTCACGCCCGAAAATATGACAAACACACCATGTAGTCATATTTATACTATAGGATCCAAGCAGCATGGCGCGGTTATGTTGTAAGGTCTTGGTATCTAAAGTTAAGAGAAACAGTTCCTCCAAACGATCCAATGCTGAGAAGAAAGTTTTATGAAGAGAAGGTAAACATATACAGTATACGGCTGTGGTCGTTTTTTAGATGGTATTTTCATTGCTGCTGAATGTAGATTCTGGGAGCGAGGTTGATGTAGATTGAAATGTTATTTCAATGTCTTGTGCCCTGGATTAAAAGCATCCGACTTTCGAACAACGTGTCCCTGAGCTTGCGTGGGCAAATAAACAAAATTTGATTTCATCTTATTTCATTTCCAGCTTCGCTCTATCACCGACCGTTTTGTTATGTCAATGTCAAACACTGAGGTAGACACATTTCTTGCCCAAATTGATCAGTCGGTGGAGGAAAGTCGAAGAGTTATGAGGTTGGTTCTCACTAGATTTGATTGCGTTTTCTCTCGTCTCCGAAGCCGAAAATGCTGGACAAACTAGGAAACATTATTGTGGAAACATCTGAAGTTTTGATTTTCCTGAATGCCTTCAGCAACGTTGTTGTGGAAAACAAATTTCTTTTCAGGGAAGAAAAATGTTTTCATGAGTTCAAATAATGGACAACTTGCATCTTAGACTAAATTTTAGTCTAAGTAAAGAGAAGGGAATCACTCATGCACCACAGCTAAAAAGATCATAATGAGATTGGTAACAATTTCCACACGTAACACAAACATATACAAAATATGCAAACTTCGCAAGGCTATATTTTCCGTAACATTTCGTAACCAAATTTTGCAATTTTACTAATTACTTTTTTTTGCCTAGATCAAAAATTAGTCTAACATGCAAGTTGTCTATTGCAAATACTATGTTATTCTCAGTTTTTATAACCTTCATCCTGTAGTTCTGGACATGCATGGCACAGCCGATATTGCTGTAACAGAAATAGTTTACTTTTTACAGGCAAATGTCTCTGATAAATTTTTCCTGGTTTGGCTACCTTCAGAAAACATGGCCTTGGACTTGATGCTTAATAAGTATTTATTGTATTGTTATAGATTTGTAGAAGAAAATAGTTTCAAAACAATGTCTACCATGGATTGGCAATCTGTTTATGAACAGGTTTGAAATGAATTTTTTTACGTCTCCACGACTGGTTTCCAGAAATTTGGTTTCCGCGAAACCTTAAAACAAGGGGGGATGGGGGCAGTGAAGCGCAGACCTTTAATATATAGAGTACGATTTTCGTCTGATGCATGTGACTGAGTAGACTTGCCACAAGTCCGCCTTAGAATTTTTTCCTAGCTTTAGTGAATGAGTAGGTGAGCTATGATTCCTATGAATGTTCTGAGTATGTGTACCCTCATTTTGAACATTTATATAACTCATCCACTTGTTTACATCCATCAGAAGAAGAAAGTCCCAGATCGATTTTTTCAGCGACGAGTCGTAATGCTAATGAAATACAATGAAATGAAATTGGGTAATCGTTCCATGTTTCGCGCACCAATATCCAGGTGATCTCGTGTTCGTATTTTAGCCAATCAGCGCTCAGAAAGGGTTGTCCGAATATAAATCCATTTTGATGTACTCAGTCAATTATGTCTTTCATTATTCTTTATGAAACTAGTTGAAATTTTGTCATTATGTTTGGTTATGAGAACTATAGCTCTGACAAAAATATGGAATCGAAATAAAGTATATTACAGGAGATATTCAGTTGTTTTAATCATAAAATGGATTTCTATTTGACAACTAGTGCCAGTACTTTTCCGCGTATCAAGATCACCTGGATAGTAAACGTTATGTAATGGATATTTGTTAACTGGATACCTCCATACACATATATACACACCCTAACCCTAAACCTAACCCCTAATACCTAACCCCTAACCTATATTGGTACGCGAAACATGTCATGTAACAGCATCGGTGACGATTTTCTACGCCTTTCCAGATTACATTTGCGTCCTTTCGTTGGAACGAAGCATTGGTGATACTGGTATATAGCGTAGGTTTTCAGACATGCGCAATATAATAATTTTCTTTTTAGTAACGACCAGAAGGCTTTTTATAACAAATTTAATAAATTGTAACAACGTTTCGGAGTTTACTTCATCATCAGGTTACATTTATACGCACAATAGAAAAAAAAAGAAAATTATTACATTTAAATGAGGCTTAGAGAAAGTTCGCTCCTAATCACATGCGCAATATAATTGTATTTTTCAGTTACCGATGTGAGATTTCTGTATTTTAATTTCCTTTGTAGGCCAAAGAGCGACTTTCGTCCGACTGTCCTATTTGTTTTACATCGTTATGCTCAGACATGCTACCTCAGCTTCAACCTTGTTGCGGAGTACAAGATGAGAAAGTTCGTCCTGTCACATTGTTGTCATGTTCCCATGTTTTTCACAAGAAATGTGTAGAAGCTTTTGAACAACTTTCACTGAATACATATCACATCTGTCCTGTTTGCCGCTCACTGTATTATAAGAAGGATTTACATTTATGAATTGTCATTAATACACCCTTTCGATAATTACGTCATTTGGCCTGGGAGCCTCGCTCTCATGAACCGTGAGCCAATCACCTTGGGTAATTTACTAATGAGAGCGAGGCTCCAAGGCCAAAACGTATGTGTGACGTAATTATCGAAAGGGTGTATACGGTACTAGAAACGGACTGATTAGTCGCCTGAGTGCCTGATCAAGACAAAGAAGACAAAGTGTTCACACCAATTAACTAGTTATTGACAAATATTGGATCGTCGGACGAGATTAATTACGCGCGCCAGTCGTTTGTGGACGAACTACGCTGAAAGTTTGTGTTGAAGTATGATCCGGTTGTTTTGATTCATTGTTAGTTTGGCGAATTGTCAAACAAAGTTACTTGACCACACGGATAATCATGCAGTCTCTAGTATAAATTAGGCTTTTAACGGTTGATAGGACATCGAATGCGAATGTCCATTTGACTGACAGTATCGAGATTTTTAGGCATCTTGCTCGATAGAACTAACACTTGAAGCATTTTTGTAGATGGAAATTTGAACGGAAGATGATATCCAATTTTAGACCCAAGTACAACGCTGCGGAATCGCAGGTTCGATTCTTGCCAGAGGACCTATACTACTATATAGTTGCTTTTTTCCCAACTGCTCCTGGTTAGGTCTGAAATTGCATATCATCTTCCGCTCGGAATGTCCATCTAAGAAAATCGGATCTGACAGTAGTTCATGCACTTGCATGTGGATCTGAATTGACTATTATCTGAATTGAATTGACCACTTGCGTAACAGACTAAATTTTGATCTAGACATAAATTTCATCACAGCTTGAAAGAGCATCACAAAATTAGTAATATTCCAAAGTTTCGTTGTGAAATGTTGTAAAATGCGGATAATATAGCCTTGCGAAGTTTGCAATTTTCAGTCATTTTAGATTACAAACGGGAAA